TAAAAAATAACTACTAATTAAATTAAAATCCGTTTAACTGTAAAACTTTCCTTCCAATCTGAAGTGTTAAATAAAAATGCACATTTTTAGTTTTGTTCGGAATTTTTGTTAGACGCTGCCGACAACAAGATCCTCAAGCACATTGAAACTAAACGTGGTATTAAAAGTATATCAAAACGATCAAATTTCATGCCTTTTTATCAATTAACGAAATACAAGTTTTAACTGTGATATCTGAACCGTTTCAACAGGTCCAACAGTTCCAAAAACGACTCTGAACATCTTTGGTTTCTTCACTAACATAAAACATATAAGTATTCAATGTTGAAAATTTTTGGTAATCGTAAAAACAAAATCGAAACATTCTTCGAACAGGCCACCCGAAAACTCGAGTATTCATCTCGCACTGCGGCATCATGGGTGCGCAGGAGGCCAAGTACCACGGCGTACCAGTGCTCGCCGTACCAATCGCCTTCGACCAGCACCGCAATGCCGCGCGGATGGTGCGCCAGAAAGTCGCAATTTCGCAGTCGTGGAACACGGTCACCGCGGATCAAATTGGAGATGCTCTCAATATCCTCGTTAACGACACAAGGTGAGGTCATTAGGTAAGGTTTCTATTAATATAAATCCTTGCGATACACGTGCCCACTGCAGGAGCGAAGTGGTTTTCCGACATGCATATAGCTGTGTCCAGGTCTTCGGACGGGGCATCTGATCATCAAACTGATTTATTAAATAGTCAAAAAATTAGGACGAATTAAGGAACAAAATCAATCTTTGAGCTCTACAAATCATCAGAATATGTATATCTCTGTTTTCTAACTGCATCTTTTAAATCTGCAGCTACTCGGAACGCCTGCGTCGCACGTCCGCCGTCCTGCAGGATCAGAAGGAGAGTCCCGCTGACCGCGCCGTGTGGTGGGTAGAGTACGTCATTCGGCGCGGGGGGGCGCCGCACCTGCAGTACCCCGGCCAGCGCCTGCACTTCCTGCAGTACATCTGTGCAGATGTGCTGCTGTTTCTCGCTGTCTGTACTTACTTTGTGTACAGACTGGCTAAATGCATCCTGCATTTAGCCAGTCTGTACTGGTGCCTCAGTAAAGGTTCGAGGCACCAGTTCTTCAGGAACTGGTGCCTCGGTAAAGCCAAACCACAAAAAACTAATATTAATTAACTTTTTCTGAGACTAAGCGGAAAAATAATTAACGTCAATTATTTTTTACGCCACTCGTTCTCAAATAATTCTTAGAGTTTAAAGTTTTTTTTTGGGCATTAGCTGGAAATTCACGAATATTATTCTTTTATCGCAAGAATGGAATTTCGTCGCTTAATTGAACCTTTTAGTTCTAGGTGACCTAATAATTACAGGTGCAACAATAAATTTCCACTGTTGAATTATTTCAGAAATTCAAATTTGTTGTTGTTCAGAAAAAAATTCTTCCATGCGTTGAACTTTCAATGCCCATGCATTGAACATTCATGTCCTTAAACTTTATGACACCAATATTCATTTTTGTCCACTCAATGCCGAGCTAGTGACCTTTCAAATCATAATTGATATTGATAACGTCCATAGTTTGCATGATCACTGAAGTAAAGTATAACGAATCATAAAAATCCATCCGATTGAAACAAGGCATGAGAATTTACTGTCGACAGCGTTATTGAAGTTTTCAAGTTGACGTCGTCCCATCTGTCAAGTTAATAAGGTGAATATCCCACTCAAAAATGCATGGTGCAGACGAATTAAGGTTGTAATATCATTCCGCCAGCCAGATATTCCAAAATGAATTTCTCTGACTGATAGGCTTAGAATGTTGAGTGATGTTGCTCCCGGGATGACGAAAAATTGATGACTTCCCGAGTGGCCTATTGCATTTGATAAATTTTTGTTCTCATAAAAAAGTGGAATTTTGTATCCGATTATTTCGTTTCGGTGAAAATTTCAGCTTGAAGTAAACGCAGGGTGCACTAGGAATGATAGTCCCAGAAATTCCAAACTCAATGTAGTAATATAAATGTTATTTCGGATAGAAGTAATCACGAAATTCAAAATCACTGAAAATATCATTTGAAAAAATATATGTGTATGTTCATATTTATGTGTTAGCTTGAAGATCAGAGCATGCTTTATATTAACAATCTCCATATCTACGCTTTTTCAATGAGTCGACAACAATTTCTTGCTAACGCCGGGAGATAGAGAAGCTGGTTAACAAATGGCATTTTAATGGAATGCGACGCTTCGAATATACACTATTCATTATCAAGCAGGTGAAAGGGTTTTAAAACACTTCACTTACGATAGAACTTTTGGAAATGACATTAGTACAAATCAAGGGTATTGTAGATACAATTTGAAATTTAAGCTCAAAATTACTCTGAAAATAATATCAGCGTCCGGACGAATCCTGTAGTTTGGAGGTTGATAACTGGAGACTCGCTCTTGAAAATGAGGGCCTCAGCTATCGCCAGTCTCGATGGGTCGGGGCACCGCATAACTATGCTGGTGCAGGCCTCCAATGTCGCTCGGGTGATGGTCTCATTGTGAGCCTCCCGCATGTGGTTCTTAGGTCCTCCAGATTGTAGGTGGCATGTGAGTCTTCGACTTAAGGTCGTGCTAGTAAGACCAATGTAGTTTACATTTTGAAGAAGTCTGCAACCTTCTTTATAACACGAAAATTAATAAACAACATTAGTTTCTTGAAGCAGTTCAGGTTTTTTATAGGGATTATTATCATACGATTTTTAATCTTTTTTTTAGTAGTTCAGAAGTTTAATTTTTTCGTTATCCGTTCTGCTCTTGATATTATTATGAATGATTGACTGTAGGACTCGTTCACCTACTTCGTAGATGAACGATGTTTTGGTACAAGATTGTTGTAACGGTTCCATTACAAATTGATATACTGTTGATTCGGTTATTTCTTGACCGATAATTTGATATTTCAGTGCCGACCGTTCTATTTGAAAACCCATTATTTACTAGGATTTGTTTACACGATCTGAGTTCAGTGCAATTAGCACTTAATATATATAGAAATGGCAATTTGTGATTTTGTCCAATTTTACGGGTAAACTTAAGACTGAATCATGTTCCAAAGCTCTTTGCAGTTCAATCAAGTGCTCTTCGTTGCGAATGGCAACGAAAATGTGATCTACATATCAACAATTAAGCTCAGGCTTGATCTGTGCATCGAGAGGAACACTCGATTTTCTAGTTCACACATATTAATTAGTGAACAATAGGGAGAAGTGAGTCAAGTTCACGACGAAGAGTTGTGAGGAGAGTGAGCTCACTATGAATTAGCAATTGGGAGAATTAAGTCATGTACACAACGGAAGAGGGACAAGGAAAGTGAAATCAAAATGAATGAGCAACAATAAAATTGAGTAAAATTCGAAACAACTATGATACTGTAGTTGCCATAATTAAATTATACGTATGAAATCTATGTAAACATGGTGAGATTCCGTTTGATCAACCGAAACAAGAAATGAAGGATGTTCTTTGGTTTGAAAAAAACAACGAAGATGATCATTCTGTAAAATTTACATTTCCCTACTTTATTTCCTTTTAAATAATACCATTTGGATAGAAACCAAATTAAAATAAAATTAATATCAGGTCTACAAGTAGTCCAAAAAATAGTCTACTCCAATTTTTCGATACGATTTGATTTACGCTGATAATATTTTGGATTGCATTTTAATAGTATTGATATCGACTGCATTTCCTTTAAAACAAAATTTGAGAGCTTGAAAACAATTTTAATTAATATCCTTTACCAAATATTTAATGTTCGATATGTGTAGACATTCATCACTAAATCGTCATTTTAATCTATTCAACTCCATTATTACCTCTAACATTCAAAGGCGGCGCTTGGTAATTTATTTTTTGCTTTGCGAGTGACTCCTCCCACCAGACAAATGACGTTGAAGCAGCATTGAAAAACCCGTTAATTTAACCTAAAAACTATTAAATCAACGTTGATTTAACGTTAGACGTCAGGTGGGCTATACCGTTTGGAAGTCCTACGCTGCGCAAGTATTGAAAATTAAGAACTGTAGGTTCTTCAACCTTATAAGAAATAATTCCTTTTATTTTTGTGTCCAACGACAGAGAAATTATGCTTAAGATTGAAGAAATTATGCTCTCCAGCAAGAGTCTTTTAATTTAATGTCACGTCAGTAATATTCAGTCTAAGATTCTCAGTCCACGCTGCATAGTAACCGCGTCTCGATGAGCGTGTGAGACACCGATTGTTCCCGTCGTAATTTTCACATCATAAAGACGATAACCAGACACTGTCTGGCATTCAGCAATTATCACTGCAGCGCATCAATTAATCACGTGACTTGCATTCAAGTAGTTCATGGCTTAAGTCTTGTATTGAAACATTACTTATCTTACTGCTATCGTTAACCGTGATAACTATTCTTCATTAATTAGGTTAACTCTTCTCCAAGGAATATATTTGCAGAGAACCTTTTAGATAAACGCGTTAATTTTCTTAAGATTTTTGAGAGTAGTTAATTTGATCATCTTATATTTAATTGCCACACTAATAAAATAGTTGTTTTCCTCCAATAATCTTCAGTAATATTTTTAATTTACCTGTGTACACGCATTCTTATCATTTGTTTGCATCAATCGCAAAGCAATTAGGAATTTTAAAAGTGCAGAAAAAATGTCTAAATTCCCTGATTTTTATTGCTGAAGGAAATTGAAAAGAAAATGGAATGAATTTGTTTTTTTTTTATTGCATTTCCATCGCTAAAATTTATTTTTCCGATTAACCTTTGTAAAAAAAAATCGAGAATATGTTATGAGTGACCTCAATGTTCTCCATCATGTTTTAGCTATGATAAATGCAGTCTTGAGACTTACAATATGACTCGCAACAGTACAGTACACTCGCCCTACTGCCGATCTCTGATAAGCTATCAGTTGTCACAGAACATCTGCTCATCTAGTTTGTCTCGTTAGTAGGCAGCGGGATGATGAACTCAATCGTCAGTTTAACAAAAGCGTTCCTCCAAGGAAGTCACTAAATAACTTTTACATTGCAACAAGTTTCCGCGAATATCTGAAATAGATAAGTAATCCGAATACCCTTTGGTGATATTACTGGACAAATTTACTCGATCATCTGACAAAAAATGAGGTCGATTGACACATTGCACTTCTTAGTTTATTTCATGTTGCTGTTCACGGTGCCAAAACAAGTGTGCAGTTACAAGATTCTAATGGCCCTCCTTTTAGAAAGTGATTCAGTTCATTTTTTCTACACGAAGATTGCACGGCATTTGATTGAAGCGAACCATTCAGTCACGTTTCTGACCTTCCATGACTCTTCTTTTACTCATCCAAATTTTGTAAACGTGAACGTTATGGAAGGAGAACCTCCGTTGAAAGGTAACGCTTTCGACATGGTGGACTTTGAAGGAGCCATCGACATTTTCTACGCTGAAGTTGCAAGGATCGGAACTCGGTTGTGGGAAAACCAAGATAACAAAAAAGTGTTCGAGAACCGCCACGAGTTCGACGCCATCATAACATCGGCCAGTGGAAACAGTATTGTCCTGCCATACGCAATAAACTTCACGGGACCGCTTATACTGATACAGAATGCAGGTGTTGAATATATCGCGACTGCTTTCTCCGGGAACTGGCTGCCACCCTCTGTGGTGCCGTCCATTTTTATGCCGTACGATGAGTACATGAGTTTCTACGAGCGATGCATGAACTTGTTAGACTTGTGGAAATTCTACCACGGAGAAATAAGTTCCTGGTACGAGTTTGAATCCAGTTTTCTAGAGAGCTATTTCCCTGGGATTGGCGACATCTCAAGGTTGGTGTTTTACATGAAGGAAATTTTCTGTCGCGAAAGGCTGCATAATTCATTTGGATATAAAATTCAAAGTTCATGTTTTATTGTAAGTTAATCGAGTTTCTTATGACGACTGTCCCAGGCAATAAACAACTGTGAATATCTTAGTGATATTTATCGACTTCTTACTTAATTAAATCATTTTGCTTTTTCTATAACATATTCCAACATGTTACTCATTTTAAGCAAACCTTACCAGGTTCTACGGACAAGCCTCCCTCACCCTCATCAACGGCCACCACGCTCTGGACAACCCAGTGCCCCTCCTGCCCAACCAAGTGGAAATCGGCACTTTGAATGCCCATACTCCCAAGCCTCTGCCCCAGGTGTGCCTAGAGATTTTCATCAGATTTTTTCCATAATTTCTGCCCAAACATTCTTATAGTGGCTTATGTTTCACTGAAATTGACTTAGAATGGGCAAAATCGCAGTCCAAGATTTGATGAGAAAATCTATTTAGATTTTAATCTAAAAAATATTTCGGTCAACTATTGATACTAGTGTAACCGGAAATACCGCCGCGAAATTGAAATATTAACAGGTAGCGTGCCGACTTGGTGGAGACTTTCGTACTGATTCTAGACACAAGGGCTAAAGTGTCGTTCTTTGGTCCGGCTCTAAATTCCCTTGCGTTGGAGAGAGGAGGAATGAACACAAGGAAATGTTCGTAGTGCACTAATAATCTTCAGGCAAATTTCAAGATTCTTCATACGAGGGCGCACAATTTTTTATGCGTCTTAGTCCAAAAGTTCACGGAAAAAGGCTTGACACTTCAGGAGTACAAACAGCCGAGAAACCAAACATTATGAGCCCTAATACTCAGCTGAGAATAACAAAATGGATAGCAAATGGTACGGGAACTAACCGCACCGAGATGCCAAAAATCCAGCCACAGAGACTAGGGGTTCCAGCCCTAGTGCACCACGCAAGAATCACAAAATGGGCAGCAAATGGTACGGAAACTAGCCGCACCGAGATGTCAACGATCAGCCGTAGAAACTAGGGGTTCTAGCCCTAATGCCCCTCGCAAGAATCGTAAAATGGACAGCAAATGGTACGGAAACTAGCCGCACCGAGATGCAAACGACCAGCCGCAGAAACTATGGGTTCTAGCCCTAATGCACTGCAAGGATCACGAAGACGGACAGCAAATGGTACGGGAACTAGCCGCACCGAGATATCAACGACCAGCCGCAGAGACTAGGGGTTCTAGCCCTAATGCACTGCAAAGAATTACAAAGACGGACAGCGAATGGTACGGCAACTAACGGCACCGAGATGCCAATAACCAGCCGCAGAAACTAGGGGTTTTAGCCCTTATGCACTGCAAAGATTACAAAAACGGACAGCAAATGGTACGGGAATTAGCCGCACCGAGATGCCTACGACCAGCCGCAGAGACTGGGGGTTCTAGCCCTAATACCCTGCCAAGAATCACAAAAAGGACAGCAAATATTTCGGGAACTGGCCACACCGAAATGCCAACGACCAACCGCAGAGACTATGGGTTCTAGCCCAAATGCACTGCAAAGAATCACACAGATGGACAGCAAATGGTACGATAACTAGTCGCACCAAGATGCCAACGACCAGCCGCAGAGACCAGGGGTTCTAGCCCTAATGCACAAGGGTCACAAAAACGGGGCGGCAGTTACGCCTCGAAAGCACGACTATCGGGGGGGTACGAACCCCCAATGAGCAGCTGACGATTTACTCGCGAGCGCAGAGGTTATTAGCCTCTACGACACGAGGGTGCGAATGGTACGGCTGTTAACCGCCCAACGCAGCCAAAATCTGGAACTAGCCAAGAACTCCACCTATGCCGTTATTATGACCTTACCTTATGACCTTATGATGAGTTTAGAACGTCGTAGTCCACGGTCACGCTGATGCGCCGCCTTCTCACGCTGATGCGCCGCCTTAGAGAAAGAGACTCTCATGCTTAGAGAGTCCGTTAGAGGAACTCATTAGGAGTTATTTCCAGAATTACGGTGGAGTTTATTCTTGGAAGCCCAGATCTGGCTCCTTGAATTCGAATCGAAACATGTGCATCCCAACCCAGTACCACTGAGCACACACAACTTTCCCGCAAGGGGTAATTCAGCTAAAATGAGCTTACCTCAACACCCCGTTACAATGTACAAGAAATAGGCTACTAAAATCGTCTATATGCGAAAAAGTATATAATAGAGTATATTATAATTAAATAGAATTATAATATAATCCTTTGGTCACATAAGGATTAGTGAAAGTTGATATAAGAATGAATAACGCTCGAGGATAACCAACTCGCGAGCGCGTGAGTCGATACCAGTTCGTCAATAGACTAGACAAATGAATATAGACCAAGCATTATCAAAAACAATGAGAAGTATTATCACCTTATAAAATCATATAAATAAATAGTTTACCTTTTGACAACATGACTACAAGTTATATCGACTTACTTTTTATAGAGCATCTACCTCTAAGATGTCTATCTTTCCTTACACAAGATGGCAAAGTAGCCGTCTTTACTTTAAAGGGGGGTATACGTATACCCTAAAGTCTTCGGATTTGGCTTTTCCGGTTTTTAGTCTCACCTTAAAGCTGACATTCTGCCCTATCCAACGGAACCATTACCATCTCTGTACATTGATTTATGCGTTCACGACAGATCATGAAAGGGGGGGGTGGGGGTGTTCTTTAGCAAATAAGATAGGAGGTATTTCGCTGCACAGCACTTTAAATACAATGTCTGCTCGAGGTGCAGCTCAGTAACCCGCCTGGCGTCGTATGAGGAGGTGTGCATGCAGTCGCTCCCATCATCCTTGAGTGGAATCAAGCTCCAGTAACGTTTAGTTTCGTATCCTTGCTACATTTAGTGCCTATTGCGATGCGCGCGGGACTTTGTCGCGCTCTGCTGAACATTCACATTTATTATCACGGCAAACCTATCTCCTCCTAGAGTTTTGAAGCTGCAGCGATGAGCCATATACCATTCGATTTGTAAGGACCATACCTATCGAGTTATTTAGCCTTTTTTTAGATTTGTGTTAGTTTGGATTTAAAATGGGGTGGATGGGGAAAAATTTGAAGAAAATTAGAAGAAAACGGTAAAATGCGTGTAAAAACTAAGGCAAAAAAAGCTCGATAACTCGATAGGTATGGTCTTTACGAATCGAATGGTATATGTTTCATCGCTATAGTTTCAAAATCTAGGAGATAGATTTTTAAAGTACCCCCTTTTTTGTCCGTTTTCCATGAATTTCACGTTTTCTATTAATTTTCCCGAAAAAATTATACGAACAAAATGTGCTTGTATTTCGGATTGACATATATGTGTGTGAAGTTTCAGAAAGATCCGTTAGTAAATGTGGAAGTTTTTCTTCTCTAGAGGTTATACCCCCCCCCCTCCTTAACGATGGTAGCGTAGATTGACAGCACTTATTCTCGTACAACAGTAAATCATTACGATAAACAAAGGAGATTCCTCGTTTAAGTCACGAAATAAAAATAAGCTTACGCCTTCCTTAGTCATACAAAATAATATCACAATAAATCAAGATTGAAGGTCGCTGCCTCCACAACAAAATACACTCGCATTACTTCAGCTCATTCTAGCTCATTCAACATCAAAACTCTAATCTTATAATGAAGTCGGATCTTACAAGTCCAGCCAATTCTACGTTCTCAGAAAAAAAAAAATATTTCGCGGAATTCAGGCTCCGTCATACAAGCATGACATTTTTAACAGGCTCAACATTTGAAACAATGTCGAAAATAACGGAAGAAAAAAGGATGTGCAGGACTTGAATGTGTAGAAGAATAGCGTTTTTTACGGCTCAATAATATTTCGCAGTTGTGATTACCCAAAGGAATGCTTAGAACAAAAATATTTTCTGCCACAGGACTTGGAGAAGTTCGTCGCCAGCAGCGGCGACCACGGCGTCATCTACTTCAGCCTCGGCAGCTACGCCAGGAGCTCTGACATTCCAGCGCGGGCAAAAGTGAGTCATAGAGACTCGCAATACAAATATGCTTAATAATGAGTAAAACGAGTATTTAAAGGAGGTAAAGTGAATCCAGTTTAGGGATTGGTTAAAACAGCGTTTTCGCTGCTCGATTAACATGGCTTTGTACAAATATGTCTATGATCCGCTTAAATACCGATAGTGCATGTAAATTCTACGAACATACTAAATCAGTAATTCGGTTATGAAGAAATACGAAATTTGTAGCCGAGCATGTTAAAAAATTCGATAAAAATTTAACGGAAATATTCAACCTTTGCCTTCATCTATTCGAAATAATTTACAGAAATTTTAAAATTTTGATACGTAGCAGAACAAGGCAATTTAATGAAAATTTCATCTGAAAAAATATGAAGAATGATCCTAATTTAGGAGAATCACTTACAATGAAATTTTTTGAAAATCTTTTGAATTCACAAAAAAGTATTGTTCCCCTACAAGATATATTAAAAATTGATCCCAATTTACGAAAACTCATTTACAATTAATTTGGAAAAAAGTTTAATTTGCCCAAAAAAACTTTGTCCATCTTCAAGATGGAGTTCGTGGAAGCTTTCCGAAGGCTGCCACAGAAAATCATATGGAAATATGAGGCGGACGACCTCGACCTTCCCCCCAACGTCCTCACGAGGCCATGGCTTCCCCAGCAGGACATTCTGGGTAAGTGTTCGACTTTTAATTAACATTTGACCGAACAATTGTATTCTTATTATGAAATACAAATCGCCCTAAATTACTTTTAAAAAATAATTAATAAATAAATTTAAATAAATTAATTAATTTAACTGCCAATCTTTCGTTCTGATGTGATGTGATGAATGGAAATTTTGCTTCATATTTTAGTCCTTATATGAATTTTTCTTCTGACGCTACGGACATCGAGATCCTCAAGCAAAGAAAAACTAAACATGCTATTAAAAGTTCATCAATATGATCAAATGGCATGCCTTTCTATCTAAGCAGCGAAACAAAAATTTTGACTGTGATATCTGAGCCGTTTCAACAGCTCCAACAGTTCCATCAAAGACTTTAGACATCTTTGGTCTCCTCGCTAACGTGTCAAGTATTACGTGATTAAAATTTTTGTAATTGCAAAAACAAAATCGAAACATTCTTCGAACAGGCCATCCGAAAACTCGAGTATTCATATCGCACTGCGGCATCATGGGTGCGCAGGAGGCCAAGTACCACGGCGTACCAGTGCTCGCCGTACCAATCGCCTTTGACCAGCACCGCAATGCCGCGCGGATGGTGCGCCAGAAAGTCGCAATTTCGCTGTCGTGGAACACGGTCACCGCGGATCAAATTGTTGATGCTCTCAATATCCTCATTAACGACACAAGGTGAGGTCACGGGGAAAAGTTTCTATTATTATTATGTCATCGCGATATACGTGCCCGCTGCAGGCGCAGCAAAGTGGTTATCCGACATGCAAAAAACTGTGCCCAGGGCTTTGAATGTGGCATCTGGTCAACTGATTTATTGAATAGTCCATAAATATGGTCGAATTATGTAACAAAAGCAATCTTTCAGCTATACAAATCATCACAATTTGGGTATCTTTGTATCTCTCTAACTGTATTTTTTTCATTTGCAGCTACTCGGAGCGCCTGCGTCGCACGTCTGCCGTCCTGCAGGATCAAAAGGAGAGTCCCGCGGACCGCGCCGTGTGGTGGGTAGAGTACGTCATACGGCACGGGGGGGCGCCGCACCTGCAGTACCCCGGCCAGCGCCTACACTTCCTGCAGTACATCTGTGCAGATGTGCTGCTGTTCTTCGCTGTCTGCACTTACTTTGTGTACAGACTGGCTAAATGCATTCTGCTCTACTTCTTGAACTGGTGCCTCGGTAAAGCCAAACCACAAAAAACTAAAATTAATTAAGTTTTTCTGAGACTAAGCGGAAAAATAAGAAACGTCAATTATTGTTTACGCCACTCGTTCTCAAATAATGCTTAGAGTTTAAAGTTTTTTTAGGCATCAGCTGGAAATTCATGAATATTATTCCTTTATCGCAAGAATGGAATTTCATCGCTTAATTGAACCTTTTAGTTCCAGGTGACCTAATAATTACAGGTGCAACGATAAATTTCCAATGTTGAATCATGCGTAATTTCAGAAAAAAAATCTTCCATGCATTGAAATTTCCATGCCCATGCATTGAACATTCATGTCCTTGAACTTTCTGACACCAATATTCATTTCGTTCACTCAATGCCGAGCTAGTAACCTTTCAAATCATAATTGATATTGATAACGTCCAGAGTTCTGATGGTTACAGAAGTAGATTAACGAATCATAAAAATCCATCGGACTGAAACAAGTCATGCATGAGAATTTTCTGTCGACAGCGTTATTGAAGTTTACAAGTTGACGTGGTCCCATCTGTCAAGTTAATAAGGTGAATATCCCACTCAAAAATTCATGATGCAGACGAATTAAGGTTGTAATATCATTCCGCCAGCCAGATATTCCAAAATGAATTTCTCGGGCTGATTGGCTTTGGCAAGTGGAATGATGTTGCTCCCAGGATAATGAAAAATTGCTTACTTGCCTAGTGGCATATTGCATTTGATAAATTTTTGTTCTCATAAAAAAGTGGAATTTTGTATCCGATTATTTCGTTTCGGTGAAAATTTCAGCTCGAAGTAAACGCAGGGTGCACTAGGAATGATAGTCCCAAAAGTTCCAAACGCAATGTAGTAACATAAATGTTATTTTGGATAGAGGTAATCACGAAATTCAAAATCACTGAAAATATCGTTCGAGAAAATATATGTGTATGTTTATATACGTGTGTTAGCTTGAAGACCAGAGTATGCTTTATAATAATAACAATCTTCATCTACGCTTTTTCAATGAGTCGACAAAAAATTTTTGCTAACGCCGGGAGATCAAAAAGCTGGTTATCAAATGGCATTTTAATGGAATGCGACGCTTCGAATATTCAATATTCATTGTCGAGCAGGTAAAAGGGTTTTGCAACACTTGCAATTGAACTTTTGTAAATGACATTAGTACAAATCAAGGGTATTGTAGATACAATTTGAAATTTACGCTCAAAATTACACTGAAAATAATTCAGCGTCCGGAAGAATCCTGTAGTTTGGAGGTTTATAACTGGAAACTCGCTCTTGATAATGAGGGCCTCAGCTATCGCCAGTCTCGATGGGTCAGGGCACCGCATAACTATGCTGGTGCAGGCCTCCAATGTCGCTCTGGTGATGGTCTCATTGTGAGCCTCCCGCATGTGGTTCTTAGGTCCTCAAGACTGTAGATGGCATGTGAGTTGACGGCTTAAGGTCGTGCTAGTAAGACTAATGTAGTTTATGTTTTGAAGAAGTCTGCAACCTTCTTTATTGCATGAAAATTAAAAAACAACATTAGTTTCTTCAAACAGTTCAGGTTTTTTTATAGGGACTATTATCATACGATTTTTAATTTTTTTTTTTTGGTAGTTCAGAAGTTCCATTTCTTTCGTTATCCGTTCTGCTCTTAATATTATTATATGAATGATTGACTGTAGGACTCGTTCACCTACTTCGTAGATGAACGATGTAGATTAACGGTGTTTTGGTAGAAGATTGTTGTAACGGTTCCATTACAAATTGATGTGTTGTTGATTCGGTCATTTCTTGACCGATAATTTGATATTTTAGTGCCAACTGTTCTGTTTGAAAACCATTATTTACTAGAATTTGTTTACACGATCTGATTTCAGTGCACTTTTCCGATATCGATGTGTTTTCAGTAAACATTAGTGACTCAGAAATTTTCTCCAATTCGCGCTAATATATCTAAGAATGGCAATTGCGATTTTGTCCAATTTCATGGGTTAACTTAAAACTGAATCATGTTCCAAAGCTTTTCGCAATTAACATATCTGCAGTTAAGCTCAGGCTTAATCTGTGCATGAAGTAACACTCTATTTTCTAGTTCACATATTAATATTGTTCACACACATTCAAGCGTTGCAAAACTCTTCCTCTTCTACTTGATAATGAATGAAGTTGCATTCGAAACGTTGTAAAATTATAATAAAATGTCCCTTGGAAACCTGATATTTGACTTTTCAGTTCCTATCAGGAGCCTAATTCGCCGAATAGAGAAAAAAAATTGTCAATAAGAAATACTCTCCGGTTTTCAATGAAACCTACATTTTAATTAGTGAACAATAGGGTGAAGTGACTAAAGTTCACGACGAAGAGTTGTGAGGAGAGTGAGCTCACTATGGATTAGCAATATGGAGAATTAAGTCATGTACACAATGGAAGAGGGGCAAGAAAGGTGAAATCAAAATTAATGAGCAACAAGAAAATTGAGCAAAATTCAAAACAACTATGATACTGTAGTAATTTAATTATACGTATGAAATCTAAGTAAACATGGTGAGATTCCATTTGATCAACCGAAACAAGAAATGAAGGATTTTCTTCGGTTTGAAAAACAACGAAGACAATCATTCTGAAAAATTTACTTTCCCTACTTTATTTCCTTTGAAATAATGCTCTGTGAGTAATTAGGATTGACTCACACAATCGGACAAATAAATAAAGAATAGTCAGCTGATATTTATTCAGATTAATTTAATGTGCAACTGGCGTTGATCGGGCTAGTTTTATGAGAAGCCGAATTGGATAATCCATATGCTGCAGTTAAAAAATCTTTGAAGAACGGGCGGTTCAATGAAGCGATATTGAATGTAGAATTTCAAGTTCCCCAATGGTGTTGCCCCAACGGGTCCCAGATACTGAAATGAAAATTAAATCACTTACTAAACAATTAATTGATCAGAAACTAGCTATGTAGCAGACAATTCCAAATTATGAATCAACCAATAATCAACAAATAACTAAATTGACCAACCTAAGATTTTGGTGCATCTCAGTGCTTAATGCGTTTAGTAAGATGCAAATCAGAAATATAGATGAAATCAGTTAAAGGAAGGTACTCCAGACGGAAAAATAGAAAAGGACAGTTTGAGATTTTGACTTTGGAAAATTGAAGATAAAGTTATTATAAGTCCTCATCTGTGAAGACGCTGCTAAAGAACTGGTTTAGAACATTGGCCTTGCCCTCGTCAGAAGATATCTTCCGTTGATTTACATTCAAATCAGCAATACCATCCCTTGTCTTGCACTTCGAACTAGCATACAAGAAAAAGGCTTTCGGGTTCTTTTTCGAGTTTTTGGCAACGTCTCTTTCAAAATTTTTGACAAAAATTGCTTTGCTTTAACCGTATTGTTCATCCACTGTGTTTTTCTGACTCCACCGAGCTTTATCTTAGGTACACACGCATCAACTGCAGACATAACTATGTTCTTGATGAATGACCAAGACTCCGCCACATTCATGTTCATGATACAGTCATGATTTTGTTTATAATTAATGCAGTCCAGAATATAATTCGCAACAGTACAGTACACTCGCCCTACTGCCGATCTCTGATAAGCTATCAGTTGTCACAGAACATATGCTCATCTAGTTTGTCTTGTTGATGGACAGCGAGATGATGAACTCTACCATCAGTTTAATAAACGCGTTCCTCCAGGAAAGTCACTAAATAACATGTACACTGTTACAAGTTTCCGCGAATAAATGATAAAGCTAAGTAATACAAATACTCTTTGGCGGTGTTACTGGATAAATTTATTCAATAATTCTCACATAAAATGAGGTCGATTGACACATTGCACTTATTAGTACATTTTGTGTTGCTGTTCACGGTGCCAAAACAAGTGTGCAGCTACAAAATTCTTATGGCCCTCTTTTTAGAAAGCGATTCAGTTCATTTTTTCTACACGAAGATTGCACGGCATTTGGTTGAAGCGAATCATTCAGTCACGTTTCTGACCTTCCATGATTCTTCTTTTACTCATCCAAATTTTGTAAACGTAAACATCATGGAAGGAGAACCTCCGTTGAAAGGTAACGCTTTCGACATGGTGGACTTTGAAGCCGCCTTCGACCTTTTCTACGCTGAAGTTGCAAGGGTCGGAACTCTATTGTGGGAAAACCAAGATAACAAAAAACTGTACGAGAATCGCCACGAGTTTGACGCCTTCATAACTTCGGCTGATTATAGCGGTATTGTCCTGCCATACGCAATAAACTTCACGGGACCACTTATACTGATACAGAATGCTGGTGTTGAATATTTCGCGACTGCTTTCTCAGGGAACTGGCTGCCACCCTCTGTGGTGCCGTCCATTTTTATGCCCTACGATGAGCACATGATTTTCTACGAGCGATGCATGAATGTGTTGGACTTATGGAACTTATATAACGGACATATGAATTCCTGGTACGAGTTTGAATCCAGTTTTCTGGAGAAATATTTCCCTGGGATTGGCGACATCTCAAGGTTGGTGTTTTACCTGAAGGAAATTTTCTGTCGCAGAAGGCTGCATAATTAATTTGGATATAAAATTCAAAGTTCATGTTCTATTGCAAGTTAATTGAGTTTCTTATGATGACTGACCCAGGCAATAAACAACTGTGAATATCTAAGTGATATTTATCGAATTTTTGCTTACTTAAATCATTATGCATTTTCTATAACATATTCCAATATGTTACTCATTTGAGTGCAAACCTCACCAGGTTCTACGGACAAGCCTCCCTCACCCTCATCAACGGCCACCACGCCCTGGACAATCCAGTGCCCCTCCTGCCCAACCAAGTGGAAATCGGCGCTTTGAATGCCCACACTCCCGAGTCTCTACCCCAGGTGTGCCTAGAGATTTTCATCAGATTTTTTTTCATAATTTCTGCCCCAACATTTTTATAGTGGCTTATGTTTCATGAAAATTTATCTAGAATTGGCAAAATTGCAGTCCAAGATTTGATGAGAAAATTAATTTACATTTTAATCTCAATAATATTTCGGTCCACTATTGATACTGGCATAACATTTTCAACAAGCTCAACATTTAACACAATGTCGAAAATAACGGAAGAAAAAAGGATGTGCAGGTCTTGCATGAGTAGTCGAATAGCGCATTTTTATGACACAATAAGATTTCGTAGATGTGATATTCGCCAAAGTAATGTTTAGAACAAAAATATTTCCTGTCTCAGGACTTGGAGGAGTTCGTCGCCAGCAGCGGCGACCACGGCGCCATCTACTTCAGCCTCGGCAGCTACGCCAGGAGCTCTGACATTCCAGCGCGGGCAAAAGTGAGTCACAGAGACTTACAATACATATGTGCCTAATAAAGGGTTAAATAGATATTTAGAGGAGGAAAATGAAATCCAGTTAAGTGATTTGTTGTAACAGCGTTTTTGCTGCTCGGTTAACATTGTAGCTTTTTACAATTGTGTCTGTGGTCCGCTTGTATATACTGACAGTGCATGTGAATTTGATAAACATACTAAATCATTAATTCGGTGATGAAGAAATACGAATTTTATCACCGAGCTTGTTAGAAAATTCGATAAAAATTTAACGGAAAATTTCAACCTTCGTCTTCATCTATTCGAAACAATTTACAAAAATTTTTGAAATTTTGATGCGTAGCAGAACAAGTGCAAGTTAATGAAAATTTCATCTGAAAAATATGAAGAATGATCCTAATTTAGGAGAATCACTTACAATTAATTTTTAGAAAATCTTTCGAATTCACGTCAAAGTATTGTTTCCCTACAAGATATACTAAAAATTGATCCCAATTTACGAACACTTATTTGCAATGAATTAAAAAAAATCTAATTTGCACCCAAATTTTTTCCATCCGCAAGGTGGAGTTTGTGGAGGCTTTCCGAAGGCTGCCACAGAAAATCATATGGAAATATGAGGCGGACGACCTCGACCTTCCCCCCAACGTCCTCACGAGGCCATGGCTTCCCCAGCAGGAC